CCTCATTTGTGACTCGGTCAGTCTACGGGATCTTAAGCATTCTGCGATATAGCCATATCTCAAATACTTCCAGTTTTCTGCATATATCTTCGTTCAAGATCCACGATTCAAAGGACAGAGAAGACGTAGCATCGCAGCATTCTTACTTTTGTATCAAGAGAGAGGTTGTGACTCTTGAAGAAGGCCCCCATCCGATTGAAGGTGGATGTAGCTTTTTCGATGCGTGCTCTAATCTCCTGGTTCTTGGTCCATTTTTCATTTATTATGATGCCGATGTAGTTGTAGTGCGTCACTCTTTCTACACGGGATTGGTTGACGTAGAGTTGACCTTTATATTGAGTCCATATTGTTGACTGTAATACGTGAAGGACCTCATAATATCCACTAAATTGTACGAAAATCTATTAAAATCTTGTTAACCGATATTATTTGGATTTTCTTATTAGTAAACGGCTCGACGTATTAGATTTGCACTTTGTGTAATTAGTATATCATGTTACATTTATGAATCACCCTCCCCAATTTCTTGTTGAAGCATAGTTAATTATGTTTCTGCTCTCTCTTGAAGTTCAAAATTTATTTCACAATTGCCATATAACGTTAACGTAAGTAGAGTTCCAAACTGATATAATAAATCGTCTCGAGGTGTCATCTAAAAGGATATCCTTTATCGACATTATACAACGGTCGATTAGAATGTTGACTATATTCAAAATAGGACAACAGTAATATTGCAGGATTGGATTAATTTTCCATTAAAATTATAAATGCTGAACTGTATCAAAATTAAATGATATCTGTGGGATAATTGCGATGGCTTCGATGCCATGGTAAGCTTTTTAATGAAATTAGGGAAAATGTTAATTTTTTAGTACTTTGGTTTAAATGAAAAATATTAATTTAACTTCGCTAAATATGCTTTTCCTGTTTTATATTATTACATTTAGATTTACGGGATTACAGTGTTTGGCGTTTGGTTTCATTGGGATGATTATAAAATGTATATGTGAGCCATTATTATAGAAAAAGAAGTCTTTCAGTGTGTATATATTATTTCTCGTCCAATAATTTTATCTCTATTGGGAGGTTACTAGTTCCAGGCACCCACACTTTGACACTAGCCAGTGTAGCTTACACTCTACTACACTCGAAAGTGCTACACTAGAAAACAAAGGAACAGACGGATTCTATCTGCTCCTATTTCGTTTTCTTTGAATATCGTTTTTTCCTCTCGGTTGTTTTCAAAAAGTTATAGTTATTCCACATTTGAATCCTTCCCCTAATGTCGCTTTTAAGTTTTAAATACTGATAATGTAATTAGTTAATTTTAGTTAATTTAGTTAATTTTTGTAACGGTTGAAGACTAGTAATTGACCTCGAAGACAACATGAGGTGCCGATTCTCACACTGTAATAAAATTTTGAGAGTTGTAAACTATTTCTCAAAGAATAAGTCGGGAGTTCTAGAAATAGGACTCTAGGAATGAGTCTTGTCAGCAAATCCTACTCCAACGTTTTGGAAGAATCATGTCGCGTAACCACTGCATGTATGGCGTACATTGGGTATGCGTTATACAGCAAATTGGAATGGGTAAACAGGATAAACATGGGTAACATCTTAAATAGGTTGGCTAAATAAAAAAACCTTAAACAGAAATTCTGGTCCTTCAAGTAGGACGGTTTAATCGTCGTACTAGGAACTCGTCATTCGGAAAACGTTTTTAGTATACTAAAAAATTTGATATTTCGCCTCGAAATATGGATATATTTCGCCTCGAAATATGGATGGATTAAAACGACCATGAAAATTGTAACGGAAAAGAAAATTAAAAATGGCTACCTTTAACGTACAAGGTGTCAGAAATAACTAAAAAAAACTGTTATCGAAACTTGAGAAAAGCGAAATCGATATCTGTGTGTTGAGGGCAATGAAAAAAAAACTTAAATGTAACGAAAAAATCGGTAATTATATGCAAATGTAGTAATTGCTCCAAACGGGGTATTATTATACTCATTTACAATCAATTAGTAAAATACGTAAAAAGCTTCCAAGAAGACGACAAGGAAATGATCATGACAGAGCTGACGAAAAATTGCCATAATAAGTAATCATAGAGGTTTATGCTTCCAACGAAGATGCTGCGATGGGATATAAAGAAGAATTTTGCAATAATCTACTGAACGAATTAAAACGAATTAAGAAAAATAAGGAAGTATTCATTCATTGGAACGTATGGAGAGGCTATTTTTAATGATAACGGTAAGCTACTTATTGGTTTATGTGAGAGCTTATTGTTAGAAATGACAAATGGATCCTACGTTCATAAAGATAATACAAATATACATGGACACATCTAACAATAGGGATAGGGTAAATTATTTATTACGTCATCATGCGCCAATAATCAAATCTAAAAGTTTTGCTGATTGTGCATCTAGTCACCACATAATGATGGCAAAGCTGGTAGTTAGTTACCTGGAAAATAACAGCGATCATCATTACAACCAAACAATGCCTGGAAATATTTGTGTAAGCAAACATATTGTAGAAAATGTAAAGAATGAATTCACCCAATTTTTGTACAAACTCAGATTGGCTGCAAAACTACAACATACTAGAAAAGAAAGCAAGAAGGTGGAAGAATTATACTGTCAAATAAAAAACTGTATACATAATACACACAAGAGGACATAGGATATAAGGAAAATGTGCGAAACCAAGAACCGGAGTCACCAGAAATAAGAGAGTTGGTACATACCAAAAAGAAATCAATCTTATCAATTCTGGCTACAAACACAAAATTTAGAAGACTAGACAACATGCACTTATTGAAAGAGAACAGATAAGAAAATTATAACCAAAAGAAAAAACGATATTGCCTACTGTTGCAGGCATAATTCTTTGAAGCAATCAATATTTGGGACTCTCATTCCATGTCCGAAGTACACCAGCATTCTCTTTTTGATGATTTTTATAATCTCAGTAGTCTTGCTGAGACGTTCTGTTATTCTGGAGTTTGGAATCTTCTTCACCCAAGAAACTTTTAAAAAAATTTTATAGAACCACATTTTGAAAGCCTTAATGCCATTTAGATCATTTTTAATTACAGTCCAAGACTTGCCACTATAAAATAAGACCGAGAACACGTAGAAGTAGGTGGATCCATAATTCTAATTTTAAAGCGGCTTTGGCCTGCTCAATGACCACATTGCAAAATATATTACAGAGACTTCAAAATAAATCCAATTGACGAAGACGAAGTACAATCAACAGTGTAGATGAGATAAGACGAACCTTAAAGGAAGTGGAAAACAAGAAAGCACAGGACTGGGAAACATTCCCATTAAATTAATAAATCTAGCACTGTTTCTGAGCCATAATGTACTTTTTTGACTCGGTCTTTTCTTTCGTCTATCCTGCCTTGTATTAGGAAATGAAGTACGTACATAATACCTCTCTAGGTGACGCATAAAATAGTCAAAATATTTCATTTTGCAATGTTTAACTGTTTTGGCCACTTTCGTAACTTTTCCCATCCGCTGAAAAACAACTTGTTCGTTGGATTCTCAAATACACACAGATTTCAAAAACTTGTAAAACAAAAAAGATATTTTAAAGGTGCACCTAGGAGAATTGATAAAATTTCAAGAACAAATATTCAATGAGAAAACACTTCAAATTGTTTACAATAATTTTGGGATCTAATCACGACCTCCGTGCCTTCAAGTATTTACATTTTGGTAATTATCTAAAGAAATTAATTAACTGTGTGAACAACAATAAACAATAAAACGGAGCAACTTTACAAAATGGCCAGACCCAGTTCTGTCCAGAACTTCGAAAGGGCATTCCCGCGTGTTTCCTAAAGGGATTAACATGCTTAAAGTTACCGAGCGCAAATTATGAAAGATTTATCTACAGTCAGCATTTCCAAGTGACCGTTGGCTCCATCGGTAGCGCCTGACTCTGCCCTCGTGATTTATGACGTTTGTATTCGTGTATCGTCAGGTTATTGGAATAATTTCATTAGCGGAGATGCGCCAAATCGCGCAAGCTATGCCTTTGTAAGGCAAACAATAGTATATTCATAAATCACTTTGATTTATTCGATTAAGATAAGTGTATAGTTGTTGATTAAAGTAATACTTTTCCCAAGACAAATTGGTAGGTTCCCCATAGATAAAATAATCTTGATTAATAGTTTAATCATTACACATTAGTGAGTTAACACAAAGTTGGGTCAAAAGGCAAGTTTAAATAAAAAGTAAAAGAGGGCAAATAGTTTAAATAATTGATTTATTCAAGGTTACAACACCTGGAATGTGGGTCTTCTCAAAACCTTCTCTTAGTCGTGGGGAGTTGACAGTTGCCAGGATTAAATTAGGCTAATGTGCACATGGTATGATATTAACGTAGTATTATATTGTAATTTGTTTATTTGAAAATAAATAATCCACTACCGAGCATAAAATTAGGATCAACCCTTAATTTGAGTTTATTTTAGAAAGCGTTATTGTTTATGAACTATTTTCGGTTGTAACGTAGTTCACTAACGGATTGCTTAAAGAAAACAACGTTTTTGCCTGTCCACTCTGTCTCTTAGATTTTGCCACGTTTTCTTGGATACTGGAAAACTGTTTGGATATAAAATGAAGCTTATAAAACAAAAATATATTATTATCATAAATCTAATATCAACAAATTTATGGCTCTTCGAAAACAGATTTTTATTTGTTGAATACAAAAATCGACATATATGATGAGTACGCGGAAAACTGTAAGTTTTTTATGGAAAACTTATAATTGTGTTAGATTTCGTTTTCGACAATGAGAGACTCTTCAATAATCGATCATTGGACTATAAAACTTATAACCAAGTCTTAAAGTATTATCACAACAGTTATTTGCCTACTACCATTTTTATAATATTTATAAATTAATTTATGCACTAATAGCCTTCGAAATGTTTTCAAAAAAATCAATTGTATTTATTTTTTCAGGGAAATGATAGTTGGCAAGGAAACGACAGTGATCAGGTAAGTTTTTATTTAAATATTTAAAAAAGTTGATATAGATTTTAAATCGTAAACTGTTTTTACAGAGAATGTAAGGGTTATCTTAAACTTTTATTATTGTAACACTAGGATACCCTCAAGAATATGATTTTACACAGAATCTAATCCACATTTTATAAAGACCATTAATCGACTGAGATCAAGTCATGCTCTTACGTCATCTTACATGCATGGAATCGGCTTATCAAATACTCCCAATTGTCCTTGTGGCAAAATAGGCGATCTAAAACATATTATATTAGAATGTGATTTACAGGTTAATAATATAAACGAACTTTATAAGGAATTAATAAATTCTAAGTGTTATTTTCCAATAAACCATTCATTACATTTACAAATATGTTAAAATGTGTAAATAGAAGTTGCAAAATAATAGTATATAGGCATAATCTGTTATATCATTTGAAAAAAAAAACAAAAAATAACAAAAAAAACAAAAAAAAATATGCCACAAATTAATAAAAAAATACATAAAAGAATCCAAAAAAGAAGATAATAAAAGAATAAAAAAACAAAATAAAAATATATAAATACAAAATTTATGTATCCATAAAAATATTGGGTATATGTAGGACTAACATTGATAACTGATAACAAGAAAATTTTGACTATGAATCTGCAATCAATAATAATTAAAATTCAGTCCATTTTAACAATAAACGCAAACAAGTCTGGCTAATTGGCTCTGCCAAAGCCATATTACAGAAAAAAAAAACTGTACAATCTGCTTAATACATACAGACATCCATGGATACGTTGAGTACCTCTATACCAGTGGTTCCCAACCCGTGGTCCGCGGACCATTTGTGGTCCGCGCCGAGTTTACGTGTGGTCCGCGGGCTGTTTCAGAGTACGTCTTATAATTCACGGTTTTCTTCATCAATACAAGTATAACAATGTTTTTACTGGCTGCGGGGCGGGCGGGACATATGCTTCCACCACTCTCAAGCTCGGTCATTCCCTCCGTCGCTGTGTAGATGCACCCCTGCCCAGCATTGTCTACCTTCTCCTGAGTTTCATGGCCATTTGTCTGTCGTACTGTCTAGTGTCACGTACCGTATGTGTATGTACAGAGTGAGAGACTGCAATGAGTAAGCAAGTGAATTTGTTTTTAAAAAGTTTTTAAAAAGAGCACATCATGAAAGTGAACCCGGACCTAGTGCTAGTACGAGTGTTAGTGACAGGTTTGTTTCAAGTGAACCTAAAAATAGAAAACCAGCCAATCGTAAGTACAGCCCAGAATACTTAAAATATGGATTTACTTTTAAAGAAGATGGAGATGTTCATTTGCCTCAGTGTGTTGTATGTTCAGAGGTTTTATGCAATGAAGCTATGAAACCGGCCAAACTCATCCGTCATTTTGAGACAAAACACAAAGAACTTGTTCAAAAACCATTGGATTTTTTCAGTCCTCCTTACAGTTGTAAAGGCTGTGAATTTAATCCGGAGCAAAGCTCTTAATTCAAGATTGTTTGCTACGCTTTGTGATGATATGGGCTCGCTTCATTCCAAACTTCTCCTCCACACTGAAGTACGATGGTTATCCCGAGGGCGTGTATTGGCCATATTTTATGAACTTAGAGAGGGGGTTTGTATGTTCCTTGACAAATACAATCCAGAACTAGCGGCTGTGTTTCGGGATGGACAATGGGTGGCTAAACTTGCTTTTTTGACTGATATATTTGAAATTATAAATGTGCTGAATCTTGGTCTTCAAGGGCCCTCACACACAGCATTCGATCTGTGGAAAAAATTGCTGCATTCAAACAAAAGTTAAAGTTATGGCAAACTCAAGTAGAGAAAGGATCTTTTGCCATGTTTAATCTGTTTTCTGAATTTATAATAGAAACGGAAGGTATGAATATAAATAAAGAACAGCTGTCATCTTTGGTAAAGGCTTAGATAACATCGCTTCAAGGGTATTTTGACAACTATTTCCCTGTCAGTTCTGACGTCAGTTCTAAAAACTTGTGGGTGGCAAATCCTTTTTTACCACTCAAGAATATTGATCTTACACTTAATGAACAGGAAGAACTTATTGAGATATCTTTGATCCTTAGCTTGAAGTTGTCAAAATACAATGTGACAATATTGCAAGCTTTTGGATCAAGTTACTTGATGAGTACCAAACCCTCAGCCAAAAAGCCTTGAAAATTCTACTTCTTTTCAATTCTACATATCTTTGTGAAACAGCATTTTCAACACTAAATGTTATTAAGAATAAGCATCGTAAACAGTTTGTTGAAATTGGATGCTCCATTCAGGTTGAGTTTGACCTCTTTGAAGCCAAATATCGAAGATCTTACCAGTAAAATGGACAAACCAAGGAAGTCACGGAGAGACTTAGTGTCATATTTTGTAAGCGTTTGACAATAGATTTATAATGTTTCTATAACTATATTAAGACTATAACTATGTTTTTTTTTCTAATTACTTACTCTTAGAGTCCATTTTTGTCTATTTTTTTCAGAGAAAGATATAATTTTGTAATTACGTTACATAAATTCTTAAATTATTCAAATATTTGGACAATCCCCGTTTTAATAAGTGTACTAATAGTAATTTTAATATTACTTTCTTCATTAAGTAATTTTTATTTTGTTGAATTTTTCTTTATTTCCTCTTCCAATAATTATTTTACCAGAATCGTATGCTTTTTCACTGAATCATCCCCGTTCTTATTAGTTTAACCGAAAAATGTAAACTGAATCGAAACTGATTTAATTCAGGTGTAATACAATATTTACACAGGGCATCGCAATTGGGGATTCATCCATTATTCAAAAATTATTTGATTATATAACAGGTATACGTTACATCGTTTCATTGGGGGATATTGTTACATGTAAAATTTGTTTATACTGTATAAAAGCAATTAATATAAAGTAAATGTTGTTAGCAAATATATAAAGTTTATATTTACATGGACTACATCAATATGGCAATTAAACAAACATTTATCGTATTTTTTTAAATGTTATATTTGAATATCTACCAATATTTATAGTTTTATAATAAATTATTAACTGTTATGAAAACAGTTAATAAACAGTATAAATGAGGGGCTTAGAAAAAAAAAGGATTAAAAGGATTAAAATTTTTTGTATAATTAAAATTTCTTGCACATTAGCTACGGTAGTACATAGTATTATTATATTATTAAAAGATCATAAAATTATTGTGCCTTCACAAATTTTCAAAAACATAACGAATTCAGCTTTATTTTCAAAAAAAGCACTCAGACCCTTCTTATTTTGAACGGTCAACCAATTATTATCTGGACTAAAATGTATCCACAGGATCTGCAGGAAAAGAGGTGAATTTTTAAAAATGTTTGCTTATAATTGTATTTTATAAATTATTTATTTATAATATGAAACGCTAAAATAAAATAAAAATTGACAAAAATATTTTTCTACTAAGCAAGTTTCACTCATAATTAGAGTCCAGCATTGCTGTATCTTCCATGTGTTGGACAAACTTAGTTTGCTGCGATGCTGACTCGTTTCAGTTTTTTCTTGAAATCCTTCTTCAGACACTTCGTTGACGGGATTTTTTTTTTATTTTTTCTTGTGTTCATTGGGAAGATTGTTGCAGAAATCGTGGAAAACCGGTGGAATAAAGAAGGTTTTGAATATTGTCCCATTTCAATTTATTGATTTTTATTGGCTGAAGATTTTTTTAAACATGTTTTTCATGGTAATAGTAAGACGTCCAGCTCGTTTTTGTATACATACACATGTAAAAAAAAAACTCTTCATTGAATGTTTCCATTGAAGCAAACAAAAATGTTTCGGAAGATTTTTCATACAAAAAGTACCGCACTGGTCTCCATTTAAATAACACCTTTACTGCCTTTTTTGGGATCGCTTATAAGTTGTGTATTGTCTTGATTCTTTCGGTGTATAATTAACTTTTTTCAAGCTGATTGAATTAGCTGGGTTACTTATAATATATATAATATAAGTCGAAGTATTGGCGACGTGCAAGTACTTGGAGGGGATATGAGAAACGATCGTGCGTGAGTAGTGGAGAAATCTTGCATCTTTTACTGCACATTTCATGGATTATAGATTTCATAAATTCATATTGTCAATTGTCATATTTCATATTAGTTTTGTTTATTTACACCTTCTGTCACTGAAGAAAATGGGATTTAGGAAATGCTGTGTTATAAAGTGTAAAAATACAACAAAAAATTGTCAATTTAAGTTTTATTCCAACTTCGAAGCACAAAGCTACTACAAAGAGAAAAGTGGATTTATATCATAAAAAAGCATAAGTAACATAACCTAAATTATGCATTATTCTTGCGCCCGATTTTAAAGTCAGTTTGAAATAAATAATAAATAAAAGTTCACTTTTAAGTGTAAATTTTAGTTTCATAACACTCACTTTCAGTTCAGTTCATTTTAACTCAAAAATCAAGTTTAATGTTTGAATTAAATTTTTTTGAAGTTTACAAAAATGCATCAAGTTCAAGTTTTTCTGAAGATGCATTAAGATATATTCGCTGTCCAAAAGTTTACAGGGAAAGAATTAATTGTTCAAACCAATATGATGATATGATGGGCTTAACCTGCTAATTTATGCATTAGCATTATTTATGGTAATTTATTTTTCTTAATTCTTCCACTCCACATAATTCTTCCATCCTTTTTTGACATTTGCCACTACTAAAGCTTTTCCCTTTGACTCGTGCTTGGTTGAAAAGTTATTTGGTGATTTACTTTCTCAAATCCAGTTTTTATTATTGCCTCCATATTAACAGTAATGCTGTAATTCAATAATATATTTATTTGTATTTACGCTACATCAACGTTTACCTTTTAATAACATACCGACATAACCTCAATCTTACTTTTTCTTCTTATTCTTTTTTGGGGCCACGTCCTTGACAGTTATCCGGTAACCTCGATTTAACATGAAAGCGCAGTAAATTTGGCTGATTTACGACACCA